TCGGCGGCGGCGCGGTGGGACGACAACACGGTCCGTCGTCCGCGTGCGGAATATTTCAGTTGTGCCGAGATCGGTGACGCGGTTTGTCGCGTTTTGGTTCACCACCTTTTTCCTCCACTTCTCACGCGCGACCGCCGCCGCCACTCACCCTCCGGTCCGCCACCGCCCGACGACCCTCTGACGCGTCGAGCACTGCACGTAGTGTGCGTTGTACAGTCGCGCCGGTTCGGCTACCGTCGGCCGCACCGCCGCCGCCACCGTAGCCTATCACGCCTGCTAAGCTCGATCCCGATCGCCTTTTCGGATTTTTTTTTTTTTTTTATCGGTTATTTTTATAAATTTTTTTTTCGTTTTATAATTTTTCGTCACTCTATTCCGACCACTCCGGTGACGAGTCCGCCGCGGCTCTACGTGCGTCTTCCTGCTGGTCACCGCTAGCGGTGCAGATCTCGTTAACCGCCAACCAAATACCATCATCGCGACTGCTGCAGACAACATGGCAAGTATAATAATATAATAATATGTAATAAGTGAAATGTATATCCTGCTCAGTGATCATGAATTATAGTTTTACATTGTAACTTTTTCTGTTTTTTTTTTTTTTAACCAAACTTTGAAAAAGTTTTAAACGTGATCTATTTCGCAGAAGGTGTAATGTGCGCGGAGACTCGAGTGACGTTTGTTGAGTTTATAATTTTTTGTCTTATGAAAACACAATACCAGCTCATCGGTGGTCTTCTTTAATTTTAGATTATATTATTAAACGATCATTTCTTGATTAAATTTAATTATTTTTATTAAAGCATTTTCTACGAAAGACACTTTTCTAATATTTTTAAGACTCCATAGCATATAATCATGTGCTCAAGTAAATAAACCAAATAATCTAAATAACAATAATTTCAGTTTCGTTATTCTTTGAATTAAAAATGTTTTAATACATATGTTTGTGTACGAAATGTTTTCGAAGTAATCATTTTGGGACGCAGTAAAATTAATTAAAAAGGGATTGAAAATAAAAACAAACAGTAAAAACTTGTTGATAGCTAATTTTAAACTAAACAATAATTTTTAATGCAGTCTATATGTGTGGATATAACGCACCAATCATTTATAACTACGTTTATTTATGTATGATCAATTTGAAACGATAAAAAAGTTATTTAATTAAAAAGGTTATCGATGAGTTATATGACACTTGTTTTTTATAATGAGGTCGTATATATGCAATAAATTTACTAATTATGCATGTTCGGTGGTACATTATCAATCGATCCGGCAATGTTCAAAATATAGATTATAATGTGTTAATGTAAGATATTGTGTATACAAGTACCTATTATTAAGTTTATCAGTATGTATATGCGTAAACTCTATAATATTTTCATGGGTTTACGTATAACATAATGTATAGTATTTACTATAGTAGGTACTATATTTTAATACTGATATGGTATGGATAAATTGCTGGTAGAGAATTTCGAAATATTATCTAAACGATTACAATAGGTGTTATAATTTAATATTAACACTAATGTTTTGGTCACGTTTGCGCAGGACATCGATGCAGTGTATCAGAAATACGTGGCGTGCATTCTCGAGGATGTGCGAGCTATCCACGGTAAGGAGATGGTGGCTACAGGCAGCCCGTCCGTGTTCTGCTCGGTGTTGCCCGGCCACTGGCGATCCAACAAATCGTTGCCGATACCGTTCAAGGTGGTCGTGCTGGATGAGGTTCCCGACGGCGCGGTCGTCGTCGTGCAGGCTGGAAACGACGAAAATCCGTCGGCCGACATGCGGAACTACCGAGCCTTGTCCGCCACTGGCATCGCCGTCTTCAACGACCTCCGATTCGTCGGTCGCAGTGGAAGAGGTTCGTCTATAACAATTATTTAACAACCATCATCCTGATAATTCTAATATCCTTATTAAAGCATACGATTGTGTACATTCGTGCGATGTATCGGCGTATCCTATATACTCATCGTTTTACGTTATACATCAAGAATTTCGAAAATAAAAACTTTTAAGTACATCACTAAATTGTAAAGTTCACTGTTTAATATTTCAAAATATTCTACACATACGTAATTTAAATATTATCATACAATTGATATTTTATAGAATTTATTAGTAAATTTTTAACACTTACAATTTTTTATTATTATTATTATTATCTAATCTTATGGTCGTAAAATTTGATTCGTGATCTTGTATTTTTGCTATGTTGTTTCACTTCCAATTATTTAAATAAAAATAAAAATATATTATACTTAAGCGATTAACATTTTATGTATAGTTTATTGTTACGTATGTTATAGGTAAGCTGTTAACGCTCACCATCACAGTTCAATGCAAGGACCAAGCAGTGTTAGTAGCCAACTACGTTAAGGCCATCAAAATCACTGTCGACGGACCAAGGCTCCCTCGATCGAACCATAGAGGTAAATGTTTTATATGACACAAATTATTATTTGACTTAGACGTATAATATAAAAATGTATATATATATATATATATTAATATTGAACTAAATTTTTCGTACTCGTTTATTTTTTTAACACTCATAATGCGTATAATACTCGTACAATAGTTATTATACTCCATAAAAATAAAAATAAATATAATTTTCCCCGTTTCTTTAAATCGGTGCAAATTTGAAATGAAAAAAAAACAATACTTTCACGATAATACTTTTTACTCTCGTAATTTTAGATTAAAACTATATACATATACAATATACATACGTACAGTTGACAATGGTTTCTCCGTTCCCCTCGCACTTCGTAGTCATTATGACAAACGGTAGAGGGTTAAAGACCCTTTTGCTTTCGACACGCGGCCCGAACTCGTTAAAAACATATATTATTTTCCCAACTTCGGGTTATTTCAATGAAGCACCATTGATCTTTGACACGAAACGTGGGGGGAAAAGATTTTCATTTTTGTTTACTGTTTCAATACGCGTTCTATTTTCATATATAAAATATTTAGTGTCATTTAGCAACGTATAAATATTATACACAATGTTATCACGAAAACCGAGAAAACGAGCAGCACGTTATTTGAACTCTCCGCTGGTAACCTATACTATACATAATAAAATTCGTAAATAAAGCCAATATAAAATGGTATTTTTTAACAACTATTTGCATTTTTCACCCGCATTATAATATATAATGGTTATAACCATTTTAGGATGGCAAAACATTATAAAAACCAAAATCGGCATTCTATTTAATTCTTTTAGTGTACGTATATGCGACTCCTCTATACACATTTACCTCGATCAGCATCTATTACGCTGACTAATTAGATTACTGCCCATTTGCCGTATAACTGTTGTGATATGCGTTTTGAATTAAATTTTGATACATTTAGAACTGTATACTATAACACAATAATAAATACGCAATATCTTGTGTAGTAATTTTCTTTTTAAAATTGTTGATTAACGCAGCAAAATTACAATAATATTATGTAGTACGCGTATTATTAAAAGTATAAATGTATTATACTAAAACCTATTTAAGCCAAGGATAAATTTTACAATTTTAATTAACCAATTAATATACTAGACACGCATTATATATATTTAACATTTACTTAATATTTTGATGTTAACTCTTTAAATTATACTAAATCAGCCGTTTAATTAAAAGTTGCGCCAAATAAAATATTTTTTTTCAAAATTTAGTTTTTTTACTGTAAAAGAATATCTAAAATCACTATGAAGAACCTTAATTTCTATATCTTTGCGTTATTTGAATAAAACAGGTATATATAAGTATTTTAACAGAACTGCACACGATAGGTACATAGTAGGTACGCATTAGTAATTATTATTGTAATGTTTTTTCCGTGTATTCTTTTACAAGTTTGATGCATTTCATAAATTATATTTATCAGTAATAAATTATAAGATATACTGAAACATTAGTGGGTATATTATGTTGAAAGTATTATATCGTGTTATGTTAATTATTCTATTAATACATTTTTTTATTAAACATACATAATATTCATATGTAAGTAGGTAATTAGGCGTCTTTTCGTGTTCTTATCGTACTTTATTTATTAGTTTATTAGTTATAGACAGTTATAGTTGTTACTAATTAAATCAAAATCTAAAAAACGTAGAATGTTTCCTATTTATACCGTCTATATCATATATATGAGTATTATCAAGTCCCTAGAATGTATAAAAACTCCGCGATTGCTACCGACTTGAGTTCCGGTCGGAAAACGCTGATAAGCGGGGATTTAATGGTCTGCGACCGTTTTCTCGTACATGCTCTTGGGCGGATATTACAGTCGCTGTCCGAGGGTAGTTATTCTCATGTATTAACGTGTAAGGGTAGGAAAAGTAGGATGGTATAGAAAAATTTCCAAATGCGCAAATTCCATTTCCGAAGTGGAAAATACATTAACATATGCTATATACACGTACATGTTATATACCCACACTCACTCTAACGTAAAAAAAAAAAAGGTATAGTGTGTCAAACTCATTGGGTTGCAACAACGTTAACGAAGGTACGGAAAGACGTCACAGTGAGCACATACAAAAAAAAAAATACAAAATGCCTAAAAGGGTTTTTGTTCATATGTAGGATTATCTGGTAGTCGTCGTGGTAGTGCATTAATCATCCGCTGGTCTTTCGTTGGAAAGGTTATATGTATATAGTTTATACATAAAACAAATATGTATATATTATATATGATGTATATATGTGTATATATATGTAAACGGACGGTGTAGATAATGGAAGACACACACACTCACGTGACGTGAAGTTGATTGGGAAAGCCCTTGCGTTTTTTTCCTCTGTTCTGAACCCACTCAGTTTTTTTTTTGCGTATTAACGCAATTAACACAAACGGACATAACTGTACATGGATAGTTTCGGATTTTTTTTCAGAGCAAACGTTCCCTTCGAATTGATTAAGTAGTCTCGGGAATGCTTAATGAATCCGTTCGTGCATTACCCACTTCGTCCACAACAATGACCGTTATTTGTATCAATCGCTTGTTTTCTCTCTTTTTTTTCAGATCATATACAATATTATATGTATAGATATTTACGCGTTTGAAATTGACCATATGAAATCTACTCTCTCCTCTCCAGTCACGTAATATGAAAAGCAGCCCCTTTTTAATTATTTTCGCGCTTTTACCCGAAATCACTCCAACTGTCCCAAGGGTTTCTCGTGAATAATATATTATACAAAGGATGTTATCGATTTCATACACACAACTTTATGTTCATATGACAAGTTTTAAAATTTAATTGGGATTAAAATATCTGTTCATTTTTATAAATATATTGTATACGAGAATAATAATGTTAAAGTTATATTATTAAGCAACTACATTACTTTTTTTTTTTATCAATAGAAATTATTTAAAACCATAAAAATGGAAAAATAATCTCATAGAAGTACATTCTACATGTTGATTTAAAATTATATTTTAGTATTAACCATACATATTTAAAACTTACCATATGTTTATGTTTTAAACATAATTTTATTAATAATCGTTTAAATAATTTATCGACAAATGTTAAACATAACTCGTAACCATTTGTCAATATTTTACGTGTAAGTCACTAATAAATGTGTAAGCCCATATAATTTTGTAGAAATATATTTAATTAATTAATTCGAACATAATTTTGATAGTTCGCTTGTCATTTTGCTTTTTGGTAATTATCCGATAAAACCTCACGACAAATATATCCGTAAATCATTCGTCGAGATTTTTATTTTTATTGACGTGATATAATAACAAAAGGTAACAAACTGTTATACGGAAACTAGTGGAGGTGGGTTAGGAAAGTATCCTGTCGCTTTACTGTGTATACAATAGAGTTCACTAAAAAACGTCCCTTTAACGCAGACTCGCACACACAATAGCTCCCGGTTTAGTTGGGTATTGTAACCCGTTGGCAGAAAGGCAGGCGGTGAAGTGGAAGGATGACGTGCACGGCGGTGGCGGTGGCGGTAGCAGTGGTGTGGTGGTGGTAGTGTCGAACACCGCCAGAGGGATGGTTGACCGAGGGGTTGAGGGGTGAGGTTTACCCGAGTAGTAAACATTTGGCCATAAAACTGACCCTCTTATGTCCCACAAAAGGGGTAAAAATTACAATAGATTTCGGGGAGCAGAGGGATTTTACGATAAGCTCTCGGGGCTTAACCCGAGCCCCATCCACGTCGACCACCCTATTCACAACGCATGCATCATGCCTTATGCCACAGCATCGGCCATTAAAATCCGGTCGGAGTGAGTGAGTGAGTGAGTGAGTGAGTGAATGAGTAAACGAGTGAGAGAGTGAAAAACGAGAGAGACCGAGTTCACAGTGGCATCCGTTAATAATTTAAAGCACAATTAAAATCGATACTACACGCTACACGTCAAAAAAATGTATTTCACTCCCGATTTTTATCAATAAAAAAAAAAATAATAATAATTAACATGTATGGCTGATTAGCATAACAAATTTAACTCTAACTGCACACGAGTTCCCTTTAGAAACAGCGATTTATTTAGCTAAAAGCCACTCCAATTTGATACTATTAAAATTAAATTATTTTTTCACAGTTTATATAGTAATACGACCGAATTAATACCTATAGTATTATCGTTTGGTCTGAGCATTAATGTTTATCGATAACCGACAAACGTAATGCCATTCATAATAATGATAAACAATTGAATGTCAATGTCATTAAACATTTTTCGACGTGTTTCAGACGTGATCCACGGTTACGGTGGCATGTTTCCAATGCACGGTCCCTTGCCGCCTTACGGCATGATCATGGAGTACAAACGACTGTTGGAGGGCGCAGCGATGCCGGGGTCGCTCAACTACCAGTACATAGCGGCCAATTACTTCCAACTTCACAGTAAGTGTTTACGAAAATTTATATACATATATATTATTATTATTATTATTATTGTTACTGTTACGCGCGCGACGTGTTTTGTGCATATACGTATACACGTATTGCAGTGTAACACAGAACAGAAAAAGGGGTTTTATTTTTTTATTTTTCGTCACCCCTAGCCGTCCGCGACACAGTTCAAACGAATGAGAGCAAATCGAATTTTCCATTTGAATAGGCGATTTCGAGTAACGTAAAAGAAGAACGAGAAAAAAAATCTAATCCCGTTTGACAAATCGCATATGTACACTGTACATAACAATATTATTGGATAAGGCATTTGGAACAAAAATTAAAAATACTTGTTTTGGGACCGGAACCTGACCGGAAATCATATTTTTATTTTGTCAGAGTACCCCATACAAAACCAGTACCGATATCTGATGCCTTTTTTCAATCTCAGTAAATCATTTTTTCTTTCGTTGAGAAAAACAATAATATAGCATTATTTTAGTGGATAAATTTGTTGTTTTAATATTTAAATTCTAGTATTAGGTAAATTTTTATTTCACACGATTTATTGATTACAATTTTTCTATAAGTGTCAACAGCGGAACTGTTTACGCAAATATTCAACAACTTCTATATGATACCTAATGTCTTACTTTTTATCTTGGCTTAACTTGTGTCTTATATTTACGCTTTAAAATGATCAAATTCTATAACATTAAATATCTAACAACTCGTTACTCAAACACCTCGAGCTACCCTTTATTTTGTATAATATACACGAGCGCAATGAATCTATATGGAAAACAATCAATCATTAAATGATTTATGATAACGTATACAATAAAATTACATGAACGCACAAAACGGTTCTAATTTCCGTCCTATTTTTCTATTATCCGCAGACGCCATGGAAGCTTCGCAGATGTATTGCGACTTGCCGCCCCAGTCGGCGTTTAACTTCGCCGGCTACAACGGTCTGCCCGGTCTGCCGCCTACGCCACCGCACACCGAGGAAGATCCGACAACGGCAGGACCGGCGGCGCAGGACGATTGCGGCGGCGGTATCATCGTCCCGTCGAAGCGACACCGACACGCCGCCGAATCGACTCGCGCGGTGGCCACCACGGCGACCGCGACGGCGACCACGACCTGTCCTCCGGACGATCGACTCGGGTCGGAGTCGTGTAAGCGGCCTAAGCGCGAGTCCGCCCCCAGCCCGGACATCGACATCGTCAGCGTGGGCGTCGTCCGGTCGTCCAGCCCGGACGTGCAGCTCAAACCCCGCCAGGAGAAAATCTGGAGACCTTACGGCGCCACCGATGAATAGCGTCTGTGTAAATAATAATATCGCCGCAGATAATAATATTATAATATACATATTAATTATCGTGTGATATTTGTAACGCGATAAATGTGTGAAGAATCGATTTTCGGTTCTCGTGTTTGTTTTTTACTGAATTTATGTTTCTCGGCGATGTATATTATGAAATATTATTGTACGTGAATATGTATAGACAATCAATCGAGCATTTAGGTTATATGATTCAATGTTATTGTGATATTAGCGTTTAGGTTTATATACTACTACTATTATTATTATTATTATTATTATTATTATTATTGTATTATTATTTACGTCTAAAAGTGATTTTTTATCAGTACCCGGGGCCTTTTTTTATTGTAATCTATATAGTATATATACATACGTCATATTATTGTAGGAGTTGCCAAAGTAAAACCAAAGCATATTCTATATGTCCCCTTCCGGGTAAAAAAAATAAAATAATAAACCAATGACAAAAACGTTTTTTATACGACGTTTTTTGACGTGCGAGTACGTCGTTTATGAAATCGTGGTCCGTTTTTGTGATATATATATATGTATAGTCTGTTATACTAGCGTGTGAATTTGTTAAACGTAAAAATGCATATAAAATATATATTACATAATATATACGTACATTGTATATTATGATATTAAATTTGAAAACAGACGTTTCGTTTTTTTTTCACTTATTATTCTATCCTCCCGTATAATAACACTATTATACCGTCGCTTCGTCCCCGCGGACTTTGTCGCGGGGTCGCTGCGCGGCTAGTGAGTGACTTGCCGCGGTGATGTAGTCGAGGTCTCCGATGCGGTGTGGTGCGCGTGTGGGCTTCGTCCACCATCACCCTACAAAGCGCAGAAAATAGGGATTTCAGCGAACCCCCTCCGAGGGTTGTCGTCGTCGGAACCACCACCACTACCGCCGTCGCAGTATAATACGGCCGTCGTGAGTCATATAATGTATACGCGTACACACACGCTCGCGAGCACCCGTGCAGACACAATGGTGTACGTATATATATATATATATTATTATATATACACATTACACAGTGATGTGTGCAGCAGAGGGACCGCCGCTGCTGATTCATGATAAATAAATCTGAAGTATAGGTCCCTTGTATTATTATTATTATTATCATCGTTATTATTATTATTTCGGAGAGTATAGCTCGCGCGCGCACTGGTTCTATGTCGAAACCGAGGGAGCTGACGTTCAGTAGCAATCGCGCCGTGTATTAATAAATCGTATATACGCACAACCACGGACGCGGACGCAGATCGTTCACTGCATATTTTTTTCACAGCGCGTAGACGGCAACTGCATTGTAACTTGCGTGTGCAGAGAAGTCCTTATGGAGAAATCGGCAGGGCCCTGTGCCTCGATTTTTTAGTTTGTTTCGGAGTCTCGCGTACCAAGAAAAAAAAATTATAAAATCTATTTCGAAAGTTAGATGTATTCATAACATTTTAAATGTTGAGTTTCGTAATGAAATAACTGGAGAATTGCTAAGAAATAAAGTATAGTAATATAATTATAATATGCGTTTGTGTGTAATAAGTAAATAACCGCCACGACTAATGATTTTATCATGTGGTACAAGCAAGGTTCAGTAATATTTTCAGAAAACTCAAGAGCTTTTATTACCCCGCGGACTAATCATAGTCTTAATAATTTGGGCTTTATGAATCTAGAGATATAGCATCGTTCTACCAGCTGCTATGACGTTTTTAGTGTAATTTACAGATTAAACTACCATTTCTGAAAGATGGACAATTCTTCTAAATCTATGGATACAGAAACAATAATGAAAAAATGTGAAAAAGACATTTATAGACTTACAAAGATATAGAATTGTATGTTAGGCTTTGCAGTTATTTTTTCCCTGGTCTACGAAAATTCTAACAGCCCTGTGCTTGAGCGAGAAGAACGCGGCTCGATGATACTACGTGTATGTGCGCGATTAATACATATTCATATTATACTATTATATTATTATTTATATACGAGTATGCGCTTGCTTATTATAATATATTGTATCCGTTTTGTAATTCCCACTGCAGTGTATAAGAATACTGCACAGAACGCGCGTTTTTATTATATATATATATATAATATATATATTAATATATTATATAACAGAGAATTTTCAGAAGACTTCGACGGGCCGGCGACAGATAAAACGCGCGAACAATGGGCACGCCCCGTGATTAATGGGCAGCGGCGGCGGCGGTAGTTCCGTCGTAGTTTTGGCGTCGAGAGTGAAATCGTTTGCTTCTCCGGATGTTCGCTGAACGACTATAGCGTATACCTATTTAGAGGACACGGTCCTGGGGTGGGAGATATCGAAGGGAAAAGGACGCGAATTGGTTTTCCGTTTCTATATATAATAATACACGCACGTCAACGATTATATTATGTGTTTTATTCAACGTCCGTAACTATAATATACATCGAACAAACGCGCATTTTATATCATGTCCGTCTCACCAAAAGATATTTTATGGACAAAAAATGCGCACGAAACTGCTATCGCAACGCGGTCGGCAGTCGAGAGACTTAATTACGATATGAGAATTTGAGGATTTAAATTCCTTGTGGATAAGTTAACCACGACTGCGGGTTTGAGCACTTTTGGAATAGTTTTTTACCAATAAGCAGATACCTACGTTAGATTTACGGCTCTACAGCTTTTAAATAGTAAACTCGCTTTGTACAGTATTAGAAAATTACTGTTAATAACTGTATATTTGAGTTTGCTGGTTTTTTTGTTGAACATCGAACAGCCGACTGCCATGTGTTATTTTAACAATAAAGAGCAATTTGCACAGAGCCGAAAAGTGTGAAGTGTGTATATTTTATGTTTGTCAATTCTGTAGTATGCGTATTTAAAGCATAATTTATTTATAGGATGTAAAAAAATTACAAATGTTACACTATGTATACCTTGACGTCTATGTCAGAGTCAGAAACAAGCTCGATTTGTATCTCAACTTTGACATAGAAAGTTAAAGTACATTGACATTATATATTAACATAACAACTCAATATTTGTGTGTGTGTGTGTGTGTGTGTGTGTGTGTGTGTGTGTGTTTGTTGTTAAGTATTTATCAACCCGAGTTTATAATAAAAAAAACAAAATCTGTTTTGTTTATAATATATAATATTATGGTCGATAAATTGCGCAAATATAACTCGATTAAACCAAATTTATTTAATAACTTCATATTATTACAATCATTTAATTAGCATACAGATTTAAAAATAATGTAGATTCTATATTAAAAAATTAAGACAAAACTATCAGAAAAATAATCATTTAATAATAGAAATTTACTGGTATTATCAAGTAAATTTGGTAAATAAACAAAATAAAAAATATTTAATGCACATCAGTGCATCATTTCATCATATAATTATGTATAATTTAATATACTCTCATCATATAGTTTACACATTTTATAATTTTTAAAATTTTAACATCACAAAACCATTACAAAATAATCATAATAACGGTCCTATAACTACCGCATTGTAGTTATGAACGCCATTTTAGTCTTTGTACTGTCGTAATTAACATAATACATCATCACGGTCAATTTTTTTATCAACAAGCGGGTATTGAAGTTACAGTAAAGTTTTTTTTATGAAATTGTTGTCATGTGAATACGTTTTATTGTGATCTAAACACACACATACATGGAGAAATCTCCATACAACTGCAGTACAAGCTCACTTACATTTTTTCTTCAATAATGCAATTATTATTAAAATTCTAATTTTCGGAATTTTTAAATATACATAAAAACCATATATTTTTTAAGTTTTACACTTTTAGATACTTAAGAAGTGTCTTGTGGAAATACAAACTTCTGTTTTACAAACAATAACCTTCCTTTTCTACAGTAAATTGGAGAATAATTTTTCCGAAATCGTATTAAAATAAAAATTCTAACTAATAATACCTGAGTTATTTACTTTATGCATTAAAAGTAATAGATTCATAATTTTAAAACTATAATACACACAAATTAATTATTTATAAATTATCAAAATTTTTGAGCGAGTTTTTTAGTTACTTTTAATATCATGCATGGACACCAGACCGACATGAAATGTACATTACAAAACAATTTATGTTATAGCTGCTGAAATATAATAATATACAATGTTATTTTGAGTTTAATTTATCAAAATTATTTTTATCTAAAGTCAACGTACTTTAACGTCTCTCAACTATGAAGAATCAAACGCACTTGCAGTTGTCATCATCTCGTCCACACCATTTAATCGATTGAAGTATTTTATCACTGGATGTGTATCAGTGTTTTTTCATTATTATGTATAATTTTATTATATTGTTATATTAATTAATTATTGTGTTAAGAAGATATCATACTCGCACTTAAAGGTAAAAATATTATCTATTTATTGATATTTTAATTTTTAAGTGAATTATAGCTTTGTAAAATATTAAAACTTTAAAATTCTCATTAATCAATTTAAAATAAAAATATCAGTAAAATGTTATGTAATAGGCACCCTAAATAGTATTTTTACATTTAAGTTTGATAATAGATAAGTCGACTCTAATATTAAAGCTAACATCATAAAATAATTTCCGTTGATCACAAATTCGCTACATTTTACGTTAATAAGATTAAAACAACACATACGGATATGACGGCATTTAAAAAAATGTATATCTATTGCAAATTTATTTTTAATAAAGAAAAAAATTACTTCTACACATAATATTAATTAAAAGCTTTCAATAGATTGTTGAACGTGTTCAAAATCAAAGCCCCGCTACGGTACTGTTTATCGGTTGAAAGCCCTCAAAAGGCGGCTTTTAGGAACCGACCACGGAAAACGTCATCGCTCGTAAACCACGCGGTGGTGACAATCACGTACGGCGGTGGCTATAACTGTCAGATGAGGAGAAAGTGGCGTAGGAGGAAGAAGAGGAGTAGGGCTCGTAAATGTGGAAAATACACGCTGTTTTATTTGTTCGGTGAATTTCACTAGATTTTTGTAGAGCCACTTAACGCAAAACCTACAAACGGCAAATCAAAATACGATAAGCATATAATAATGTATACAGAATTATAATGCTGTAATAATTGTCAATTATTATGATGCTCATCCTTACCCTTCCTTTTTTTTAACTGTTACATTTATTCACATTCTATAGTTTTCAAATTATTTAAGTCAACTTAAAGTCTATATTTTCAAACAAATAATATAGTGTATATATTATATTAAATTGTATACCTTTGTAGAGCAGGTACTAAATAACATAAACTTACTTTTTAAAAATAAAAACCGCATTTTAAATATTATAAATTAAAACAGAAGTCAGTGATTGATTTTTTCAAAAAATTGTGTACATTTCTGCAATCGGCATTCGATCAATAGGATATAACATAATATTATTGTTATAAATAAAATATAAAACATATAGGTAGACATTTCATTACACTCGGTAATTAAGTGTACCCGTTCATATTTTAATTTATTTAATTCAACATTTATAAAAAAAACCAAATTCTTACAAACATTTTTTAAAGAAATATACAACATACCATACTTAAAAACCACTATACAACCCAAGTACTTCTTTAA